TAAGAAAAAGTAGTGATATGAAGGCAAGCAGCCAGAGAGTATTTTTCTTTTACAATGAAATGTAAAATCATTTTATACTTTTTATTAGTTTGATGATAATGCCAATATTTGTTTTGATGGGATTTGAAGCTTACTATATCATCAGAGTAACATTATCTATTAGTCCTACTTCAGTAATATTCCACAAAATAAATGAAGCAATTAGCTTTGTAGCTAACAGTGTCTTCATCTTGATGGATATCAAGGTCAATATCTAATTTAGTATTTTTCTTTAAAGTTGCATTATTTCTACATGAAGAGAAGATGGATAGATAGATAGATACCATCAAAAGTGTTAACATTTGTATTGCATTGCCTTTAGTTTTACTTTTTTTCAATGTGATTATTTGGCATGTGTCACTCCATCAGAGTATATTTTTCTTTTTTTTTCTCTTTACTTTTTTCATATTCCTCATTTAATCTTTTCTTAGTAAGAAATTATGTGTTTTGATTTTTATCATCTTCCTGTTCTAGCACAGCAGCAAGCACACTTTTGAGTAAGGGGAATTGGACTTTGAGGAAGATGTGACTGATGTAGAGTTCTTGTACTTCAAAGTTGGCCTTTGTCACATTTTTAAGAAGTCCTAGGTAAAGATTTATCATAAAAATATCTGGCAAAGCATCTGTAGACTTCTTGATAATACACTTCAGTGCATCGTACAAAATCTTGTACGTGTTCATTGTGCTGCTGACCATCTGCACAGCCTGTCCTTTCAGACAGGCTCTCTGTCTGTCCTTGACGAAGTTTGCACTGGTGCTCCAAATGAACTTGTGTACAGCTCTTGCTGTCCTCAGCTGGGTAAGGAGTGGGAGAGCTGCAGTGCTTCATCAGCAATGCACTGGAAACATAATATTTTTCTTTTTTTTCTTAAATTCTAATGCATCCTGGACACTTGGAGGGGACAGTAATTAGTGTCATACCTCACATGTACGGATACAGACCTAAGCAGATGAAAAGCCTTGACAGAGACTAGAGTTAGTCTACCATTAGAGTAACTCTACCAACCTCTTCTCAGGAAGGACACTGTGTGGGCATCAGACCTTCAGCATCAGCCCTCTTGCTCTTCAGATCCCTTCCCATTGCACTGTGTAGCTTGCTCATGCAGATACAGCCAGTCTGTAGTAAAACTAAATAATTGAAATGAGAACAATCAGAATTTTAGGTAATGACAATCACATACACATATTTAAATGTGCTTTATAATTGTCAATGTTTCTAGGCTTTTTTTGTTTTTTTATTTGTTTGTTTTCTTCTCAAAAATAGAAGATCATGGGAAAAAAAGAAGCCCAAAATAAGACTAGGCGTTTTAAAAAATACATTTCCTCCAGACTGTCAGGGGAAAAATGTAGAAAGTTATTTGGACATTTCTTTCTAATATTTCAAAAGAATTTGAATATCCTATAAGACAAAATGAAGTAACAGAAGTAACAGTTTTCCTAAATAGGCTAATTCACTCTTTGTGTATATTATCATTGTCAGAAATTACATTCTTATTGGTGAAATGATGCTTTCCTTGCTTTCCTGGCTTTTCTTGCTATAGATAAACTAATGGTTTCTCTCAAATATGTAATTGCCACTTCAGTATTGCGTTATAAAAGATTTTATTTTTATGAAGTTTTAATTGACTGTACTTATCACAGAAGAAAACAAATAGCATGGTTCCGCCTTGACCCCTTTGCACCTTTACATAGGATGCATTTATTTGATTCATCCATCTATAAAATCTCAGAGATTTTAGTAGAAGCATCTATAAAAATTTAAAACCTGGTATGCTTTAAGTTAACTTTCAATATTTTTTCAAAAACAGCATGGGATTTCAATTGAATAACAGAATGATATATTTTGGACTATACTTATTATGCTGGCTAATACCACTGGAACTACACAAAGAAGGACTCAAAAGAGCAGCAAAGTGAATAGATCTATTACTTTCAGTGCACAATTAATCTTGTTGACATTATTTTATATGAGCATGGATAAAAATGCCTGGAAAGAATACCATTGAATTCCACTGCTCATTAATATTGATCAAATGTTGTTGTTCTCTTTGTGTTGGAAGCAACTTAAAGATTACCTGCAAAAGTATTACTGTGCTATTGATGTAAAAAACCAAATCCCTGAAGTCCACTGTTTTTTCAAAATTAGTTGACAAGTTTGGGTTTTTATTTTTTTGGTAAAGAAGGATGTTTTTGAACTTGCTGCTATAGATCTGAGTAACCAAGAATATTAATCAGATTGTCAGGGAATTAATTATCCAGCATTCAATACAATGTTATTTAAAAGCCTATACATCCCTATGGAAGTTAATTGGGACCTCTCATCATCTGGCAGCAGTGCCTAGATCTTAGATACCATTTTTGATACTTAAATGGAATTATGGCATGATTAGGGCCCAGATCCTTCAAGACACTCAAACCTGCATAACTTGCATCAGGGATCCTGTAGACTCAGTAAAGAAAAAGAATCATATGCTTGAAGGTTCATGCAATTTAAATATCCTGAAGATGTGTGAACTCAGAGTATGGTCCTCTGCAGGATTAGGAGAAACAAGGTATGATCATACAGGCATTTTAAACTTTCAATCATTCATTCTTTTAGAATGCAGATGAGTCTAACCCATGTCCATTATAGGATATGAATGTTAACTAGTGAAAATTAGATTGTTGTGTACTAGTTTCTGTGCATTTAATTAGGATGTTTCATTGCTCTCAAAATAATTTTTGAGGTCACAGTTTCTATTAACAAAAAAAAAAAAAAAACAAAGCAAAATTACTCAACCTTTAGATTGAAAATATTGCTATTATATGTCTATGACCAAATAACAACTATAATCAGGAAAAAAAAAGTTCATAGTGTTGATGTGGGTTTTTTTTTCAGTAGGAAGGCATCGTAGAAGACTAAAATTAGTTAGAAATACTGGCATGCACCAGTGTATTTATTACCGTGCACCTCAAATGACCTTTTAAGCCTTTGTTCTTTGGACTGATCTGAGAAAATGTAAAATCTAAAGAAAATCAATGAAAGTATGCTGAACATGTGAAAAAAAAGCCATATGGAGAAAGCAGCAAGCAAAATGAGAAAGTAATTATTGAAAGATTTATTGTTCTTGGAAGATTAGAGATCCACTTGCATAGAAATAATTAACATGTGAGGCTACCTGCAGGTACTCCCCAAACTGCAGCACTATGATAGAGACTTGAAAAAAAATACACAGCTCATATTCATTTGGAGACCAAAAGTGCAAATTATTAAACAAATTTCTTCCCAAAATATTACAGAGGAGAAATAACATGAACAGAAGCTGAGATACTTGAAAGCCATGAGTCTTCCTAAACCTGTTAAAGAGTGATATACATTGTCTGGAATTAAGAATGCAGTGTACCATCACCTTTTAAGTGTAATGCAGAGTGTGGATGGGGAAAGGCAAAAAAGGCAACAGCCGGTATCCCCCATTTCATATTCATGATTTTTGCCTTTTTTTACTACTAATTACATTTAGAATAAGCTGCTATATATTCATGTCTTTTATTTATTGGGGTCAGTGAGACATATCCCATGTTTAATGGGATACGCGCACAAGCGTAATTTCTGCAGGATTGTGTCCTGGAATAGGCTAATGACGTAAGTTGTAATAGAAATGTGTACATAGATAGTTTCTCATATTGCTATAACCAGATGGGCAATTATAACTGAGGCATGTTTTCTGACATCCTTGTCATTCTTATGAATAATTTTTATCTTTTGCAAATTAATATTTTCTTAGAGAGTGCAGTTTTCACTAACGTGACGTTCTGAATGAATGCTGTTGCTGTGAAAATCTGTAAAACCTTAGGTTTGTAATTGAAAACACAAACTAACAGGCAGACCCTCAGAAACTTTACTCTTATAGCTCTTCTAAGTTTAAATCATTCAATTCCCAGTGCTGATTGTCAGTAAATTATGTTGTGGAAAGAAGTTCTTTTCCGATTCTTTTCTTTAATGCAATTTTAAGTGGGTGAATAATTATGACATTGCATTTCAATAAGCAAAGATTAACACCTTTCTGTGTATGTGGCAAATGTTGCAAATAACATACCTTATATTGCATTCACAAATCTTTTCCCACAAAAACTTGCACATGAGGCTTTCCAGTCAATGATTACCAGTTCTTTAAAGTGAGGTTGGAAAAAAAATGCTAAAGTGTTTTCTTCTGGTAGGATGTGTGTTACAGGTAGTATTAGTAGGATAATAAGATGTAAAAGGCTTTTAACATGTGCCGTTAAATGATTAAACTTTAGACCTCAGTTCAAAAGATGCTGTTATTTAAAGATAAGTATAGTCATTGCAAACCTAACAAATTAGATTTCACTGCTGAAATTTTAGGTATCCTAGCATGTGGTTAGTTGGGAAAAAAAAATTTAGTCAGAGGACCTTTTTTAAATCAGCTTGAAGTGGATATGCTAAAAACGCACTCAGTGGAAAAGGAGTAGTTGCTTTAGTAGCTGCTAACTGTTGGCCCACATAGTCACATATTCAGAAAGTCACCGAAAACCATAGCAAAGATCTCCTCAAACTACTAACTTGACATGTAGTGATTATTCAGGGATATTGTACATGTCATCCTGTACATGATAGGCACGTTTGATTAATACATGTTTCCTCAGTGGTATAAAACTTAGAATGCCTGTTATCTTTAATAGGAGAGCAAGATTTAGCTTCTCTGTCTCCTGTCTTCTCTTACATTAAAAAATAATGTTGTGATTAATGAGTAGTGACATGCTTCATATTTTTTCTTGTTCATAAAAATCTGTGCTGGCAAGTAATCTGAACTAAGTGAAGGGTATATTTTAGCGGGTTAGTGGAATATGAAGGTCTACATAAGGGATTTTATTTCTTTAATGAACGCATATAAATGACTGAAATTATTATGGTAGTTATTATGTGTATATATATACTTGTCTTTTTTTTCCCCTTCTCTCAGGACCCTGCCTTCCTAACCCATGTCATAATGGCGGGATATGTGAAATTAGTGAAGCGTACCGAGGCGACACATTCATAGGATATGTTTGTAAATGTCCAGAGGGATTTAATGGGATTCACTGCCAGCACAGTAAGTTCCACATGGTAACTTTTATTGTATTTATAGATAGGAGCCTTTTTATTGCTTGCAGTGTTGAGGATTAATATCGGATCTGGTTTTCTGAAGTATACCAGACTTTGGCCTTTATATTATGAGCAAGCTAATAATACTGCATACTACTGCTACCTTCAGAAAATGACGTTACTTCCAACTTACTGGACACAACAGTGCATAATTTGCTATGCATATTCTAGAGCATGGTAAGGAAAGGTAACCACGTTTAGCATGGATTTAATGGAAAAGCATATTTGAAATAGTAGGGATATCTTCTTATCTTGGAATTGTTTGTGGGTTTGTTTTGATTAATGCTAGACAAAAGTGCAAAGAATAACTGAAAATAAATCTGTGAATAAACGCATCTTCTAGAGCTTTCTTTACTTATGCATTTATAAATTATGAAGAAATGTTTTGAATCACAATACTTAAATTCAAGGGTAGAAGTTACACACTTAAATCAGATGTACATTTAATCCTATTTAAAATACAGTATTTGGACCTCTTTCTAATCATTAGACTTTATTGGAAGAGTTTTTCCTGATTTCAGGTCAGATAGGGAACAGCAGGTCAGTATGCTAGTCTTAGAGGGTGTAGCTACAGAAAAAAAAAGCCATATGGAAAAAAAAAAATCTTGAGATTTCAATAACATCTCATGGAGGGATTATAGTAAGATCTACACTTCACCAACCAAAATTTTAAGCAGATAGATGTGGTATTTTTTGTGCTCATACTGAAAATTACAGGTCCATGTTTCTCCAGTTAATGTGATCAGAAGTTCTGTGTGATCAAAACCAATTAGTAAGAGCTATGCATGTTCATCTGCAAGTGACTGATCAGATTCTAACCTATAAATGTAATCTGTATTATCTATTTGTCACTTAAATAGAAGCTGGTGTTTTTTCATTTGTAAAACTCATTTAGAATAAGTGCTTGCCTAAGGAGAAACTCATGTTCCGAATTTGTGTTTTATTTTGTGCAATAAAGCACTGCACAGTTCTTAAAATCTCATGTTATTGATGTATTTGGAAGCCAACTGTTACTCAGTTAGAAGGTTAAAAACTCAAACAGTCAAGAATCCAGTTCCATTTGCACATAAAAGATAAATCCACTCATTCAAATCAGAGTGAATAAGCACTGAATCCAGTCTACCTTAAGTGCTCCATTTAGATACTTGTCTATAATTTGAAGTGTCAGGAACCAATACAGTCCAGCTCAAATAACTACTTATGTTCATTATATCCCTTATACAGTCAATGGAAAGTGTCTCCAAAGACCTGAATATGGATATTCAATTTCATTAACTTTGGCCACACTCTCTCTCTTAGTTAATTACATAGGTAACGTAGGCTGTCCCACTAACTTAATCTAGTTAAATTATGTGTCTACCTCTTCCACTGGGAACAAGGAAATGTTGGATATTATCCACTCCTTTGGGATCTGTTGTGTCTAGCTCTGATTCTGGGGATGGCTGTCTAGTGGAGCTGACTGCCAGCAACAGTCATACTGACTTTCTTTAGCGTTAATGGTCGTATCATTAAAGCACTCAGTCAAGATTGGGGACTGAGTACATAGTATAATCGTGATGGCAAAGGATAGTCATTGCCAGCGTTTAAACCATATAGCCAGGAGTCTGAGAGTCTCAGTACCAGGAGAGCAGGCAAGATTATGTCTATCTGTAACTCAAGAGTTATGCCAGCTTAAAAATTGTACCTGGGCTAAATTGTGAGTGCAGTACCTTGTGGTTCCTGACCCTGTTCCTTGTACTTGCATGCATTTTACGTAAGTCTGCCACCTAATAAGTGAAGCAAAAGTCATTGGAGAGGGGAAAGACAGGAAGCTGTACCTTCATCTCCATGACTTTTGTGAGGGTACAGGCAGACCGCTTCTGTGTGCCATTGATGTCCAGTCATGTGGAGGAGCTCATGTGAAGGAATCCTCATGTGGCCTAATGTTCTCAGGCACACTCCGTCATGCCTGAGATGGAGAGACCTCCATCTACATGACTGGTAGTCACGTAGTCAATGAGTGATGCATAATGCTTCTCCTTTCATTAAAAGTCAAAGAGGTGACCTTTGTTAAGGATGCAATGAAGTGACTAACACCACAAATTTTCATCAAGCAAAATGCATGCTTAACATGTGATGTCTGGAAAATATCATCTCTTGTTACCTAATTAATGAAAAAAACATACAGTAGTGCATTATGGAGTGATTCATCATAGTTATTGCTGGGTCCCCAGCATCCTTTTAAAAATATTCAGGTATGTAACAATTAGCTAATGATCGTAGCAATCAGCAAAGTGTATTTATGCCAACTTCAAAATAAAGCAGAGCTCTCACATGGGTGATTCAGATTCACTGTGGGGAGACTAGAACACAAGAAGGCAGCTAAAGTGATTTGAGATAAGTTTATGTGAACAGTTACTCTTTGGGGGAGAACGAAATTCAGTCCTTTTCAGATAAACTGATTTAAGATGTGATAATAAATCATATACAATATATAGGTGTTCAGAGGGTTTCTAAGGATGTCAGCTATGAGAAGCAGTGGAGGAGGTCTCTGCAATCAGGAAGAAGTATGGGAATTCCAGTGGTGGACTTAATATATCTCTTTTATATGATATCCCTTTAGCTCAATTCACAAAGTTCCTTTGATACAAATTCCTCTGCTTCATAAAGTTTAACAATTCAATTCTGAACTCACTGTAAATCAATTAAGAAGTCTGTCCAAGTAGTTCCGTCATAACAAAATCAATTAAAATTACCTCATTGCAAGACAGGTATCTTCCTCTAAACTGTTAAGATTTCCAAAAATCACATTATACTTCTCTTGTACAAGGTTTTTTATCTTGGATTTCTTTCATGTCTAATATTCTGTTGCTAAATCAGTTAAGCTAGGTGATTGATTTTGCAGTCGAGATACATTCCCAAAACTGGTATTCTGTCATTCGCATCAACAAACATCCTGCCAGTATTTCTGAGATTCCTTGACCTTCTACCCATGTAAATAATTAATATGTAAATTGTAAAAGAAATCGTTAGCAATTTCACTGATTGTTTATCCTAGATTTATTACAAAACTGATATTAATTGATAATGGTTGTCTGAAAAGATTCTGATTCCCCATTGGCCAAAAAGGAAACAAAGTTTCCTATTTCAGGGCTCATAAACTAACCAATGTTTGGATAGGAAAGTCTACCTCAGGTAGAAACCTGGGCAGGTTTTTGTTGTGATACCCAAGAACAATAGGTTCTTTAAATATTCCTCTGTTATTTAAGAGGCATTTACTTATCTGCTTGGTATGAAGATTCTTCCCAAACCCTGTCTAGGTTGCAGTTTGTCGTGCTATTAATGTATGGCAATCTGGCTTTCAAATGTACTATTGACAGTATCTAGCAACAAGGAGAGAGGAGTTGCTTGCAAGAACTACCTTGAGGCAAGGCAAGTGTCCCTGCGGTCTTACTACACTGAGAAAGCAGCTCTTCCAGAGAGTGACTTAGAGCACTTAAATTCCTGAAAATAGCATACAACTCATGCCCAGGAAGACTAGGTGTACCCTGTGGCGGTGATGCTCATTTGTAAGAGCAGGAAATAATTTTATTCCTTCAGGATCAGTTTGACTGAAAGCTATGTAAATACATGGCCTTGTCATTCACCAGAAAGAAGCATATAATCATTGGGTGCATTATAATTCCCTTTTCTTTAACCATGGACTTCAAGAAAGTCAGTTTTCTGAAATCTTTCTGGCTTTTATTGGAAAAAGCCTACTGCTATTCATGAACCAGCATCCATTGTTAAACCATTATCAACCTCACTAATCACTCTTCATATGATAGATGAAAATGCTGGACAAATAATTGCTGTTCAGGTAATTAATTCCTTCATCTATAGATAGAGGGATTACACTGTCACCTATTAAAACAGCCTAGAAATACAGTTCTGCACAACAGGTCGAAATCCATGGAAATACCCAGAAAACTGAAATGGACAGTTTTTCCACCAAAAAAAATTCTGTAACATTGCGAGATATAGACAATGTGCATCATTGTCATTATCAGATAGAGATTGCCTGCTGAAAAAATAGGAAATTGAGGCATTAGTAACAATATATGTCAAAGTGCCACTCAACTAACTGAAATGACACAGAGATCCAACCAGAAACAATCAAGTTTGAAACAATAAAGCGTTCAGATTTAAGGGTTTGATTTGGATGTGGTTTGATATTCTGAGGATCATTAACCCTGTCAGCCATAACTAAATGCCTTGCACTCCAAGAAGAATAAAAGTTATCAAACACATTTAATAATGTAAGCAAGCCTTCCCAGTGTTTGTATAGAGTTTTCTGCTTTCTACCTCCCTGTCATAGATGGTCTGTGGTATTCACATCTGCTACATTAATGTATTGGGAAACTGCACAGATGTGGGCCATCTGGCAGAGCATCAGCTCACATTTTGATGTATGTTGAGGCGTCATCCGAACTACCAGTGGCTTTTAGTGTGGACCTGCAACTGGAACGACCAGTAGCCATGCATTTCTGGCCAGTTGAGATGATGCATAATCTACAGCTTCAGCTCCACCAGCAACTTCAAATCCTAGTAACTTTTCCAGTTACTAGGAAGAAATATATATGAGGAAGCTGTAGAACATCCCGTGGCATCGATTTTGTCTGTTACAATGAGCGAGTGCTTTTGCTAAACCATTCCTGGCTGCAGTTTGGTGGTAGAGCACTCCAGAAACCATTCATCACAGGTGGTTTTCATGTAGTTGTCTTGTTTTGGAGGCTAAACCTGATTGTATCTTGCCAAGACGCAGCTGGTTCCAAGCCAGCAGGCCCCCTAGGCAAGTAGGCAAATTTAGTGTACTAAGGTAGATACAGTTGCACCATACCAAACATTCATCTCATGCTTCTGCTGATGAACACTTACTAGGGCTTCTCCTTTAATATCTGTCTGGGCTTGGGGAGTTCTAAATCTAAT